ATAAATACTAAATAATGAAATCTTCCACAAGGAAACTGTATAGGTAACCTCAAGAATGAAGTCTTACTCCTTCTGATATGGGCTATTCCTCATGTTTATGTGTACGGAAACAAATACACAAGGAATCTCACGAAAAAGAAAAGGACAAGTGCCTTAAAAAAAGGTAAAAATAAAATTTTAAATAATTAAACAAGTAATGGGTGCCAAGGCCTTACATATTATGGGCATTGTGCTGAGCCCTTTATGCTCAAACTTTATTTTACAGAGGAGGAAAAGGATTTAGGTTATTTAAGTTATCCCAAGTTACAAGGATAAGATAGACGCAGGACCCACCCCCAGGCTAACTGCAGGGCCTGTGCTTTAACAATCAAGCTACCCTGCCTCAAAGTGCAGAAAAGAGAGAGAACTCGGAGCTTGCTGGAGATGGTGGGGATCATCATAAAAATCACAGCTAATATTTGAGGGTTTATTAAATGGTAGGACGAAGGTGCTTTAATGTAGTCTCACTAAGTTTAATAGCTGAAGATCTATGAAAGTCACATAAATAATGAGAGGGAAAAGTAAGACTCCAACCTAAGGAGCAGGACTTCCTGGGAGCCCAGCAAGAACTAATAAACAAACCAACAAACCAATAAAAGGCTGTATAATCACTGAAACAAGTCAACAGAAACAACCACCTTTTGATGTGAATAAAGGGCATACATGTAGTCTGGACAAGGTGGGTCTGAAGGACAGTACAACACCCCGATACAGATACCCACCTGGTAAATGGATGTAGATAACTGACACTTGACCTACTACCAAGATTTATAACTTCTACTGTGCAAATGCCTTTGGGGGATTTCAATGTTCTCCATCCCCAGTGGTACTACCTGAATACAAGACACCATCATTTCTTCCCCGGATTATTCCAGTAGTTTCTTGTTCCCCAAATCAAGCAGCATTTTTGCCATTCCTCCTTCCATCCACCCTACAAATCCACAATTTCCTCACAGTAAGTAGCCAACATGGACCTTTTTCAAATGTAAGTCTAGCAATTTCATAGCTCAGCATAGAACTAAATGGCTCCTCACAGCCTTCTGAATAAGGTTGAAAATCTATACAGCATGGTTATCACACCTTGCACAACCTCCTGTCTCCTCTCTAAACATTCATCATGCAATCTCTACACTCCAGCCACACCAGACTTCTTTCAGTTCATGCCTACCAGCTTCTCTCTCACCCCTATGCCTCTGAACATGATTTCAATCTCAAATAACATTATCTCCCTCTCCACCCCTTCTGGAGTGGGAGACCCCCCTCCACTATGCTCCCATGACACCTTCTTCTGTCACCTGGCTGTTCCTCACCAGGCTACAAATTTGATAAGGGTTTATAGCTTACTGTATCCCTAAAATTAGTGCAGTGCATAGCACTTTTAAAATAAATGAATGGATGATCAAGAGATCTAAGCAGAAGGCGGTATCAGAAGCCCCTAGAATGGATTACTTTGTAAAGAGTGAACAGGAAAGAAGACCTAGCCAAATGATCTAGAAGAAAAAAACAGGGGAAGAGGAGAACAAGGTTAGCTGGATGACCTGAAGCAAGAAACAAAAAGATTATGAACGAAATTTGAGACAATTTGCTGACAAATCCTATATCCTTTTAGGAAAAGGCAAGGTACAAATATCCATGCTGTCACCATTTACTAATTTTTAAGAGTACAGTTGATAAAAAATGAAAATTCTTCTGTAAAGTAACCTAGAATGTAAGACATAGTTATTCCTTTAGTTAATATTTTTTAATTGCTCTATAAGATAGTACTTTAAACAATAGAAGTATGTTTTTATTGCTTTAAAAATATTTAAATACTGGTTCAGACTGAATCTGGGCAGCTAAAAATAATACTTACCATTGCCATATGGAAAAGCACGTGCAGAACGACTATCGTAACCAGAGGAATGTCCACTGTTGAAGAAAAATGTATTTTTATGTGTTGCAAATAAATTCTAAATTTTAACAGTTTGGTGCAAATGCAAAACATCAAGGCAGAATTATGTCTTTCATTTAACTACCATATAATGATAAACCTTAATTCTGTAATTTAACTTTATAATACAAAAACAGGCTTTTAACCTGAAAACATATTAAACCTAATACCCACTTGTAAAAAAAATATAGCTTCCTAGTACTTTTAATGTGAACACAATCAATTCAGCTTGATTCCCAAGGTAAGAGAAAACTTTGAGACTAACAGAGTACTTGAGACTTTGCTAAAATTTAATCTTAAAAAAAGAAAACAACAGGTTTTGGGGGCACCTGGGTGGCTCAGTCGGTTAAGCATCCGACT